GAACCACTTACTTCACTTTGGATGTGATTCTCGGATAACTATCAGTGCAAATAAATATTTTATCTATGTATATGTGTTTATTTATTTAAGTCAAATTTGAAATTTCAAATATATTTTTTAAAACAAACGCAATCTTAATCAGACTACAAAATAGAGCAGCCAGAGTCAAGCTTAAGTTTTTTTTTTTCTCCCTCTCTCTCTCTCTCTCTCTCTCTCTCTCTCTCTCTCTCTATCTCTCTCTCTCTCTTTGAACCGAATAGACAGACGGACAGAGTATTAGCTTAAGATTTCACTCATGATAAATATGCAAATTATCAAATAAAAAGCTAGAACACAAACTATATCCGATCTGTGTAATCGTCTGTTGCCCAATATAATCGATTAAGTTCCCGATTTGATTCACTTCTCGAGGAATGTCCCCTATACATACTACAAGCACAATATTTGTTGCGATAATTGATGGAATTTAAATGAAAATCAAGAAGAATTACATGCAATAAATTCTTTAAATAAATCGTGCAAACACAACAATTCAATAAAATCTATCTATAATATCTATCTATATATTATAATCATAATTATAATGAGGTAACAAAAATCTAGAAGAAAATTGTTTATCAATCAAAGCCGGCGCTCGTGTCACGAAACCGTTGAACGGTCGACATTGAGGTTAAATTCTTCTTCTGTGGTTATTATATGTTGATTGGCGTTCATGAAAACTTTGACCAAGGCCTTTACCATGAAATTTTTTTAGTTTTTTACCGTTTAGTTTTCTCTGCGTGGAAGGAAGAAAACATTGGATAGATATGAGCGATTTCTTCCATTTTTGACACAAATGCTATAAAATCATCCGTATGTAACTTATTACGTAGCATTTTTTGTAGCTTAAGCAAACTGAAATTCTAACTAGGGACGTAGGCATATCTTTTGATCGATTTACCTCATTTTTAATATCAAACTGTTTACAAACACTTTAAGCCCGACCTCTTAGTTTTGTGATTGTGATCATGAGAACTTATATATAGAAGCACAATGTAGAAACATGAATGAACCGACAGATAGGCATGACTAGATCGATTCAAAATTTGATCAAAAATGTATGCATTTTATAGCATCTCAAAAGCATTTTTCTTGGTGTATGCCAAGCGTTTTGACAAAATCAAGTTTCGGTGATGAAAATAGAAAAATTACATAATTAATTCATTGATCAAAATTGACAATATCCGCTTGGACTCAATGCATTCGCAGTTATACTGAAGGGATAAACATAAGCAAGATGAACAGTAATCGCGAACAGATTTCATAAATCTTATGCAAGCGACGCGACAAAGGTGTTTCCTTTGCTTAAGAAATCAAAGACAAATTTTCGCGTGCATGATAAGTTATTGCCTTGCCCGTCTTCAGAGTTAAATTTCTCTCTCTCTCTCTCTCTCTCTCTCTCTCTCTATCTCTATCTCTATCTCTCTCTATCTCTCTCTCTATCTATCTATCTATCTATCTATCTATCTATCTATCTATCTATCTCTCTTTCTCTCTTTCTCTCTCTTTTTTGTAAGAAATGAAGAAGTAAAAAAAAATAATTCGATTCCAAACGGATGGAGAGGCCGCATTCTAACAGGGGCTAATGACTCCATATATATATATATATATATATTTATATTAGGTTTTGTTTACTATACCTCAAGTATTCCGGAATCATGCAAACACATTTTATGACGAATTGAATTCTTCAAATTTACTTAGCGATTCGGTACTTCAAGTTACTTCAAATTATCGTCACTTCTAAGTCAAATCGCGTTTTTCTCGTAACTATGTTTTTCGTGGTGTACCTTATATCTCTAACCTCTACTTTTGGTTTACTGATTCGCTTTGAAAGATTTTTTCGATCTTGAGGTCAATGATAAGGCCAGGCATGTGCTATTTAAGACAATATTTTTTTTGGGCGAAGCTCTTGTGCTGTCATTTTCATTTCAAAACAATTATTTTGGAAAATTTTGTCAAAACATAAGCCTTAAGATGAGGCGCGGTCTGAAGGTAATGTCTATACCATACACCACTTGTGGTACAGAACATATTAAAATAGTGCGGACGTTTACCAACATCCAGAAGGGCTTTAAATATATCCCCATTTTATTATGTCGATCGATTCAGAATCGTATTCTAAACCGATCTAAGCCGGTCTATTCGGCCGGTCTTCTGCCCATGTATTTTTGTGCTTGAGTTGCAGATCGCAATTTTTGAGATATTTTGATTAAATTTGCTGCACGAAGCTATTTTGGCGCAAGGGCGTACGCTTTTCGATTATTCGCCATATAACACCCTCTGACTCTGAAAGGTCGTTATATGAGAAAAAACTGAAATTTTCAAAATTTGCCGGTAGAAGTGGTTAAGTGGTAGTATTTCGGCATTGCTAATTGATGTGAAAACTTTGGACCCAGCAGGAGCAATTTTTTAATCCACTCTCATATAATCAACACTAAAGTTCACGCGACGAATGCACTATAGTTTTCAATGCTTCGTGATGAAAATTATATCGCAATAGTAATTTAACATAAAAAATTAACTGTACCTAATTTGGACCATCTCGGCTATTTTTATTTTTTTTTTTTGGGATTCTACCCTGATAAGGAGTTTCACGAAAATTCATCCTTTGTAGAGTAGAAAAGTAAAAGTTTTAATATATGGTGATGAAAATTTACCCATAATAGTAATTTCATGCAAACACAAACTCTGCAACAAACTCTCGGTCCATTTATGCCTATTTTTCCATTCTGTCTTTTAACAAAAATTTCTACATTTTTGCACGTTACACGAAAATTGTTAAGGTTAGAAAGTTGAGATTTTCCACCCTTACTTCACAAAGCACTCTACTCGTTAGGTCGAAAAATGTAACCAATTGGCCATGTCCACACAAAGTTATGAGTAGTTAAATTTTCCTTTTTTTTTACTTTTTATCATAAGGCAAACAAGACCGAATGGTTAAAACTTTTCGTACACTCCTTAAATGAAGATGTATTATCTGCCTGAAAATGGATTAATTTTACAATGAATATGATGGACATCGCGATTAATTTTTTCCTAATAATACTATCCATATGGATATCAAATAAAAGAACTTGGAGAGTAGAATGCGAAAAGTATAGTGGTGGGTATGCGAGATTCGACTCCCGTCGAATATAACTTTCCTGCTTGTTTTTAGGTGTAGGCAAATTACAAAGTCAAGTAGGAGCAACGGATCAGCCGACAAGGTGTAAATTATTCATCATTTGTAATTTTCAATTCTTTTAACTTTTCGTACTATTGCGGTTACCTCTATGGGCAGATCAACCCTGATTCTGAACATAATCTGCGGTAATGATATAAGTCGAATAGCAGTAAGTTTTTGCTTTCATTAAAGATTTTTGCAATCATTGAAGATACTAAGATAAGGAATTGACGAACGGACCGACATGACTAAATAACTTTTGTCTCATCCATCCTTCACGAACGAGTATCGAAATGAAGATGCTTTCGAAGATTATTATTATAATGCAAAATATGATTTTTTTCATATTTTGTTTTTCTTTTAGACTTGTATAGATTTATATATGCATACATATATATGCAGTCAAAATTTGATATATTTTGTTTTGCAGATCTTAAAAATATTATACAACAGCAATCAAATGACGGCATGGAATTTACAACGGCCTCAACAACTATAACAAATAATACACCGATAGTGCATAGCAATCATTGTAGCAGTAGTAATGCTAGTGGCAACAGTACCAGCAACAGTAGCAATAGCAATAACAACAACACCAACAATAACAATAACAATGCAACAAGCACGCAAAATAATCATAATTGTCATATCAATAATCAATTGAATCCCTTAACCCAACTAACAACAACAGCAACGGCTATATTGCAGCAGCAGCAGCAGCAGCAGCAGCAGCAGCAGCAACAACAGCAGCAACAACAACAACAGCAGCAACAGCAACAACAGCAGCATCATATGCATCAACAGCATTTAAATACCATAGATTATGGAAATCCGAAATGTGTAATGCCCCGAGCATTGGAAAATCTGATGATTTATGAAAATTTCGATGTACACGAAACTCATCGGATTGAGGATGGAATTTGTACGCAACTAACAAGGTTACCGCCAAAAAAGCAGGAATTATTAAAACAGTTCGGTATTCAGAATAATCAGACTGTAACGTATTATGAAAAGTATATAATCACCGAAAATTTCAGCCGATTTTGCAATGTGAGCAAATGATGAAAAAATGAACAAGTTTATAAAGCCAGGAAATTAACTATATTTTATATATATATATATATATATATATACATATATATATATATATAGTGTATATAATTTAATAATATTTTGCAATTAAATGTTTAAAAAAATGTTAATAAAAATTCTCGTTATTTCCTTTTTTTCATTGTTTTTCATCGTGAAATTTTCTATATACAGGAATACAAGGTGGCCGATCATCGACCCTTTTTGGAATTACAGGAGAATGGTTTATCCAAATCTGAACAACTTAAATTCGTACGCTATCTGGGCCAGGGACTACCCAATCTAACTCTCAATAAAATCTATTTAGCCTTTAAAGACGTTTTAGGCTTTAATCGTATCGAAAAGTAAGAGTCTCTCATTATTTATTATCTTAAGTCATTCTTAAGAGATTACTCTTAACATCATTTGCTCTCTTTTTCCTCTTAGAATGATAACGGATGGTTACAATTTGGAGACGATATTAAAACGCAAGAAAAAAAACCTTTTGAATCGTATGTCAGCTACAGCAGGTAATTCAATCCTAACAAGTGAATAATTACATATGCCAGCGCTACGGGGCTTCTTAAGTATTTGCTATGTTGAATTTTTTATACCCATCACCGTTGTCAAAACGATTTCAATGCCCAGAAGGAAGCATCAGAGACCCCACAAAGTATATACATACATACATTCTTGATCAACATCAATTCTTAAATCTATTTATGTATATCCGTTTATCCGTCTGTTTAATGTCCGTTGTAAGCATTTATTTAGCCGTAAAAATGAAGCTATCGACTTCAAACTTGGCATAAACAATCGAAATTCTTGATATTGAAAATGGGCCGAATCGCTCAAAGAATACGCCCACAGCACCATGTAAACTGAGAATACCTGTTCCTTTCAATGGGAATGAAAAAAATTATGTCCACACTCGGTCATTCCGTTCATAACCTATAGCAGATAAATGTACAAAAATTTGAACGCGTACTCTATGGCCGATGCTATAGTATTTGTGTGCAAAAATGAAAAAAACAATTTGACCCCGCCTACCCAATGTTATGGTGTATCAAAGTTTAATTTTTTTTTTTTTTTTCAATAACTTTTGAAACGCGCAAAAACAAGCTCCGAAAACCCCATAAACTCGATAAATTCATGGCCAATTTCAAATTTGGAATGCACTTAAATATGTCCGGCTGTTCGTTTGTCCAACTGTCTCTTTACGCAACTTTGTAGTAATTGCGGTCAGCGAAAATGACGATATCGCCTACAAATTTACAAAAGAATTTGGAATTGACCTGAATTTTTCAAAGGTCACGTCTACAACGCTCACATGCCAATACGAGAAAAACTTTTATTTTGAAAATACAAAAAATCAACTGCACCCACTCCACATTATAGGGCATGAAAATTTTGCTCATTTACTTCTTGTGTCCTTTTTCAGGATAAGAGTGATGAGATTAAAAGATTCGGTCCCGATCGAATTTAATTTTCTTCCTTATTTTTTCTACTATTAACATTCAGAGCGCGTGCGTAGTCTAGTAGCCCTAGTGTCCACTCAGGCTTACATGTTATTAAGAACAATATTTTGAAATTGTTTTTTGACTCAATTATTCCTTTTTTTTTTTTTTGTAATTTTATTAGAGCAATCGTTAGCTAGATGTTTGGACCGACCAAGTCCATTTTTAAACTAGTAAACAATAGCTTTCGGGTTTCTATCTCAATTTCCGAGATGGTAAAAAGAAATTCAACGCAAACAGACTGACTGATGTACAAATCGATGGATATGAATGAATGTATAAAGAAGTTTTGGTCATTGCAAAGCGAATAAAACAAAAAAAAAAAAAAGGCATTCGTTAATAATTTTTTCTATTTATTTATTTATTTCTTTTTTTTTTCTTAATATATATATATTCATTTCAGTGAATAAGGACTGCAAGCCCGATATCAATCCATCGTCAATACCTGCTTCAGTTTTAACAACCGCATCGAGCACCGCTATCGCCACCAATAATGCCCCACAACTGCTGTCGCCATATCAACAGCATAATGCCTTTAACACTTAACGTTGGTGCTTGAAAGTGTTGGAGCTGGAAATGCTGTTATTGGTGGTAACTTTTAAGTTAAACATCATAATATTTAATGTTAAATATTGTATTTAAGAAACAAAATTTTAATTTAAAAGTTTCAAAAAAAGTAGAGGAAAAAACAAAATTAAAAAAAAAAAAAACTTAAAAATTTACTGTACTTCCTGGAACTGGACCAGTAACTGTTGTGTCTTCGAATTGCAAATTAACAGAGCAAGTGAATTAGAAATAAACCACAAGCAAGAAAGAAATTTTGAACTGGAAATTGAAAATATAAATACACAAGAAAAAAACAAAAAAACAAAAAAAAATCAGTAAGTGCTAAATTTAAATAAATTCTAAATTGAAAAACAAGAAAAGGAAAATACCATAAATCAAAAAAGGAAAAATCGAAACTAAATTTATAATATTAATAATATTAATATTAATAATAATAATAATAATAATAATCAAAATGATAATAGAAATAATAATACTAATAATTATGATAATAATAATTATAACAATAAAAGAGTAAAAAAAAAAAAAAAATTATATCCGCCTTAGAACTAATTCAATATATTAAGTATAAAAGTCATAAATAGAATTTGAAAGTAAAGTTTATTGATTGTGGGCGTGTCAGTTGTACAAATCAAAACCACCTTACCTTACCTTACTAAAAATTGAACAAAAAAAAAAAAAAAACATCTTCAACAACATACGAAGGCATGGACAGATGGACAATCGTACATACATCAATCAATTGAATATCTTATCCGTTAATCGAGAATATCTAATGCATATTACCGCTTGTTATGAATAAATCTAACATATATCTCCTCGCTTGGGTGGTGACGGGCGTAGAAAGGGATTTAGAAAATTTTAATACATACCACCAGCATTATTGATTGCCTTCAAAATTTCAAAACACTACTCGCATATGTTTAGTTATAAAGATGCGTTTCGCAGAGAGAGGCGTTGCATTACATACATTCTTCAATATAACAATAGAAAGAAAAATCATCGGTTTTCTTCGCTTATATGCGATACTTTAATGTTTAATACGATTTTTAACATTTTTTTTTTTTTTTTTGTTCTTTTTTTTTTTTCATAAAATCTTAATGACCAAACAGCAATTGACTGACTTAATAAATCTCTCTTATGAAATTCGTATAGGTCCTATCGACATTTTGATATACGCACGCCACTACTAAAAGACTATTACGACCAAGACTAAGTGAGAAGAAGATTTCACTCAGACTATTCAAAAATATCATAGACCTCTTTTAAGCCTTCTCTATTGGCAAATTATTCATTATTATGCTGTATTGCATTATTTGATTCGTTTTCATTTCATTCCCACGCTGCACATACCATTATCCATTATCGATTATCGATCGAAGAATGGATTGTTTTTAATAATTTTATAATTTAATATTTTAAATGAACGCAAGATTCAAATTCGAGATTTGAAATCGAATTTATCTGCTTATCTGTTTGTCCTTAGAGTAATTGAAGCTATAGGGCTTGAAATATATCAAGTATATATATATAGTTGTTTAGCAGGTTTCTTTCGCAAGTTCCTTCTCCACTTGTAGTTGTCATAAACAAGCACATAACACCGTACATCATATGAAAATTGAAAATTGTAACAATATTTTAATAAATATATTCGTCGAGATGTGTGACATGCGTGCATGAGGTTTATTTTCATTTCGCACACAAGGAGCAAAACAGACTTTTGAAAAAGTAAAAAATCACATACCAGCAACAACAGTGATCGCATTGTCGTCATCATATCATTACCTATTTTCGTAAGCGATACTTTCCTTTCATTAACGAGATATTTAAATCATACCTTAAGTCTTACAGCGTTGCAATTATCAAACACATGTAGGGATAACCTTAACTTTTGCACCCTACGAAACCAGAATTATGTTGACTTATTGATCGCGTTTTCAATCCTAACACAAGTAAATTAATATCCATTTCACCTCATCGCATAGATATTTTGAGCAAATATTTGATCAGGTGCACTTCTTCACCATTATGTAGCAAGACTTCCAGCAACTGAATGCATCAAAAGGAAATTAGAACAGAAGGCGAAACGAAAAAAAGGAAAGGTAGAGATAGAATGCCCTTCAAGAATGAATTTTGCTTTTTTGTGCATTGTGTATTTATGTTAATTTTCATCTTTTGCCTGATAAACAATATTGAAAATAATTACAGCGATAAAACCACACGCAGTTGTTAAAATTAGTTAAGAAAGCATAAAGGTTTTCTTATTCGGCTGACCTTAACGTGCCATAAATTTGTCGAAACCTTATATATAATTAGATTATTATTAACTTCATAACCAATTTCCGCTATACACATACAAAACATATAAATGAATAAATTAAACAGAATCTATGTATATAATATAGAGCGTAACCAAATGGAAAACTTATTTTACATTTTTATTATATTGGTTTACATTTTATTAATAAAAAAAGTGAAAATTCCTAAATTGTTTAAACCCATAAAAAAACATTTATTGTTTCAAATATAAAAAATTAATGAATAGATTTACTTATAAATAAATATATTTATTATAAAAAAAAAAAAAAACCGAACAACCAAATGATTAACATAATATTCCTATATACACAATACTGTGACCGTAAGAATTAAATATAAAATATAATTCTAGAAACCATAAATTCCTTAAGAGAGAAGGAACTAAACAATAATTAAATGAATAAATAAATAAATAAATAAATAAATAAATAATAAAGAGCATATAAAATGAAAGTAAAGATTAACTTATACATACACACATACACACACACCTCTATGAACAGTATATTGTAATAAAATGATTCAAAATTAAATCAAATATCTTTCATATAAGCCCATATGAGATATACATATATAAATAGTAAAAAATATATATACAAACATACTCAATATTATTGAAACATATATATATATATATATATATATATATATATATATATATATACATATACGTAGGCATGTATCTATGTATCTTATATATACGATATGTATATATATATACTGAATATATACATATTAATAATCAACAACAATAACCTAAATACTTATAAGATACACAGCAACACATAAAAATCAATCAAATAAATAAATCAAAAAAAAAAACAAAAAAAAACAACAAAAAAGTCTTCCGACAAATCGTATCCTGATTTAATAAGTTCGGTAAGATGATATATATATATATAACTATCCCTGGATCCCTCCTTGCAAGTATATATATTGTACTTGAATTTGATTATCAAAAATTTTACTTTCAATTATGGTATTTTTATTCACTATCGCCCACGCAAATAACCAGGAATCTAACCTAGAAGGAAACTAAAAAATAGATTATATCTTGCTCATAATAAGTTCACTAATAATCATCGTAAACATATATATGTACATTGTTCAATTGGAAGATAAGGCAAAAATCCATGCATCAGATGTATTGATCGTGCATTGGTTTCTTTCTTTTTATGACTTGACTGACAACATCAAGAAGCGATCCTTTTTATACTGCACAATATACGCGATAAAGACAAATTTAAGTTTTGCGCGAATATATGCAACATGTAGAAGAGCTTAAGATAAATTCACCGCAGCTTAAAATTATTATTTAAATCGATTTAATCATGTCCGTCCGTTCGTCCGTCCGACTAATGTCTGCACGCTTACTCCTCTGTTTAACGTATAGATCGCCTTTTTCGATATATTTTCCCAACATTCATACATGGCTGGCATGTCAGTGACCTGAAAAGAAAAGCTATTAAAAATGTACTGGATCGGATCATTTTTACAACTTATTTTAAGTCTATGTTGGAGTTCGATTTTAAAAGTTTTTTTATACCAAAAAATTTTCATTCTTAGTAAATCTCGACAAAAATTGGCGCGAAATATTATCCGAAAGTGGGAAATTTATATGGGATGTGGCCGTGATTTTAACCTCCCAGCTCATAAAGTTTGATATGAAACGATAAGTCTTTAAATGTTAAAAGGTATACTTTTCTGAATTTTATGACGATAATTGGCAAGAAACACTAATTTAGCATATAAATTTACAATAATAAGTCTGGATCACAAAAGTCTACTTTTTAGAACTCTCCATACTAAGTGTTCTCGTAAAAAGGGGTTTCTTTCATTGGTATTGTGTAATAAACAAAGATAAGGAATTGTATTAGGTGAAAAGGTGTAGGGTATTTAATAACGGCCTTGCTCGACTGTAAAGAATCTACGTTTTGGGTTGATTTAAAATTTAATTTCTTATATCCAACAGAGTCCCCGACGTATATTTTCTTGAGTTACAAATTTTAAAACCTACATAACTGTTAACCGATAAAGAAATTTGATAGAGCCAATGCACAAATTTGATTTTCATCAATTTTTTTGGAAACATATATATCATGCCTATCTATATCATCTTTAACGTATTCAGACTTTCTCGCGTTGTTTTATGAGGCGAGCCACAACATTAAAATTAACTACTGGAGTAAAAGGTTGTACCGAACATTTTTAAATAGAATGTATTTTTTGTACATATAAGACCTTTTAAGTAGTAACTCATTTTTTTTTTTTTTTTTTTGCTCTTACTCTAAGAAATTATTACATTTGTGCAAAAAAATCATAGTAATAATTATAATAATGATAAGTTGTTACTTACATCAAACAAATAGCACTGCACTACTCACTATCAGAAATGCAAAGATTTTTACATTGCTATTAATAGGTATATAATATACTTGTCGATGAAAACGGCATAACCGTTCTGCCAGCACTTTTATTTTTTTATCATACACCTCCTGAGTTACTATAAGGAAGAAATATATTTACTAAAATTTGATCATGTAACTCGTCAATAAATTAACGTAAATATCATAAAAGATTTCAAACTTACTTTAGAATTGATTTTGCAGTTTATCTCAGCCAACTCTGCTGACGTCGCCTTCAGTGAATGAAGGATGAATATTATATTATTTAACTCTCGTACAATAAATACACAAAGTCATGCGGCGGTTTTATTTTCTTATCAATTAGATTCTTCGCTCTCCTTGCAATGATTACTCCGAGCCAAGTTTCTTCTTTTCTTTTCTTTTTTTTTTTTTTGTAGCATACAAATTCGGGGAGATTTTGGACCACCCATTATAGAAGGGAGTGAATGACCTATGTTGAATGGCCGGGTTTTTTATTTATCTCCAGCCAATTAATATTGAAAGGGAAATTCATTGGAATTTTAATCTCCTTCTACTGAAACCAACTGGAAAATAGACTAAAGAATCAATTGGATGACTGCGCGAATCGTTCGAGGAATGAAATGATGTCTCACCAAAATTCTTCAATATTAAATTAGTTTTAGGTTTTTTTTTTTTTAATTTGAATATAAATACATACATTAAAATGTATGCGTATATTTAAATATCGCATATAATGTTGAATATATAAAACATTTACACATGTGTTTTTTAAATCGGCATAAAAGCAAAAAAATAGAAAAATTAACCCTTTCATCTACATAAAATATCAGATAGTTTATGTTTTTGTTCAATATTTATTTGATAATTCAAAACTTGACAAAAAAAAACAACAATCTTTTTCAATTTCTACAAATATATAAGAAAATCGTATGTGGGTATGGATTAGGAAAGTGAAATTCCCTTTTTATGTTATTCCAAATATATAAGTAAACGCTGGCAGTCAGGAGCTTAAAGAGAACTTCAATTATATTCGGTAAATTATATATATTGAATAGATCATGTTCTAATATCGGTGCAATGAAATATATAGAAATCGGTAAAATTATTCTACATAATAAATTGATTGACTTAAAAGAATCATAAACTTCCTCTAACTATGTACGATTTGTTACTATTTTTTGAAAACAATTTACCTTTATAAAAAATTATCAAGAGGTGGCGATTAACATTAATAACGGAATAAAAGTAGGTATATATTATTCACTTAAGATTTGCTTTTAGCTGCAGCAGCTTCACGCTCCAAGGCACGTTGTTTAGCCTTTTCATAGATGGGCATCAACTGGCCACGCTCACCCAACATTTTTAATAGTTCAACAATGAAGGGTAAATAGTTGTGCTTACGTCTAATGTTCTCAATTTTATAACGTTTACGTTTCTCTATTTCGCATTCAATTAGGGAGCGCAATTTGGCTATTTCTGTTTCGCGATCATCATCAGTTTCCATGGCCTCGATTCCTACACCACCAAGCAGTTTATCAATTTGTTGCTGAAAGATTTTCTGGCGATCCGATATTAAAGCCATAAGATTGAAGTGTATTTCACCCTCACTATATTTTTGCATGCGTTTCTCTATAATCGGACGTACAACATCTATCCAATTCTGACCTGAAACAATGGCTCCTAAATCGACGGGTCCATCCTTTAACCCATCCAACTCATAAAGGCGACCGTCAATAGGCAGATAACTAATGAAGTGATATATATCGTCCTCCTTAGTTTGATGTTTCGTATCCAATTCGAATAAAGTTTGACGAGCAAAACTGTTATGTACTGTACGTATTTGTGAGGCATTACTTAAGGTTAGGCCTTTGTTATACGAATCAAAAAATTGACAAAATTCTTTGAAATTAGTCAAGGTTTCACCGAGTTTAACATCCTCGCTTTTGCAGTTGAGTAAAATACTTAAAATAGCTTGAGTAGCGCAAGCATTATTGATGACCTGTTTCGCAAAAAAGATTTTCTCTAAACGATTATCGCGCACTATAGTACCGGAAGGTTCGTCATCTTGTACCCACTTAAATAGGAAAATCAAGCCATGTATAGGTTCCAAATTTTTGAAAGATTCTTCATTCAATGACCAAATCTCTTCGACTTGCACACCTTCGCAACCTATAAACAAAGGGATCAGATTATTCCAAAAGCCGGTTAGCTTACACGCAGCAAAGTCACAAATAAAAATCCTAAAAATAAAAAAAATAATAAAAATACCCACCAAATTCCCGAATCAGTTCGGTGAATACACCAGGATCACTTTCAATTAAACACCAATTGCCAGCTCCTTCCATGATAAAAATCTATATTTGAACATATATATGTATAGATTTATATGCGTATTTCTATATATATAACGCCGTTGTCTTATTTAATTATTAAATTTCCTGAAACTGAAATTTCTGCAAAATCACAATTCAAGACACACGTTTAGGGTTGCCGAAATTACAAAACTTTTCGTATATATATTTTCTAATCATTTACAGTATGTTAATATAATCCCTAAACGAAATCTAAAACGTAAAAGATTATCCTAATTATTTATTTATTTTTATGCAGCATTTTATTTAAAATTATATAAATCAGTTATTCAGTATCGAATATGAGCAAACATTTAATATTGGGTAAAACCACTTATTAAAAAGCATGACGTTGACGAAGTTTTTGCGAAATCGTTTGAACAAACGTACCTACACGACCATGAGAAGAAAAACATTTGCTAAAAATATCAATTTTAAAATAAATGGTGTTTAGGGCTTGTTTTTCATTTCTTAGAAAATAATGTTTAATATAAACAAAAATTGCAAATCACTTAATATAAAAATGATACACCTTAGTGTAAGATAAACATAAATTAGATAAATAACTTGAAAATTAACAAAAAAACGTTCATAATTTCTTCCTGTGCTTTTTTGCCTCTTTACCTTATTTCTATTTATTGTGCAAAAACAAATGATTTGCTAATTCCCAGAAAGTCTTGTGAAAATTCGGCACAGCCTAAGTCCCAGCCCAAAAATAAAAATAACGCCTTATTGTGTTAGCTCCCTTACACATTTTCAAATATGGACAATAAGCACTACCTATGCCTATGGATGCGGTGAGTAGTAATAATGTAAGATACTCCAAATTTCTCTTCAATTTACAAACATGATTTTTTTAAGAAAATCATATACGTAATTTCTTTATGTATAGTTAACACATATCCACTGAAGATAATATACTGCTTTGTATTTCGTATTAAAAAGTTATTACTTATTCATGATTAATATGTTAGTAATAATACCGCAAGTGTAAATAAAAGCAGAAAGCTTTAAAATTACATTTTTAATATTAAAGAAAAATGTAGGGAAACAAACTGAAAAATTGTACAATATTTATTATTAAATAAATTTTTTAAAATAACATTTTTACATATTCCCTTAGTATGTTGTGAGTAAAAGGGAAATGTTAAAATAATTCTGTTCCATTTTCCACTTAAGTCGAAAATATTTTTATTTGGCAATGCTGTAGCGTCCGCCATGAAAAGAAAAATAAATTTCGCTGTCGTATTAGAAAATTTTTCCACAAATTTGCATGTTTACTGCATAAAAAGTGTGTAGAAATTCTAAAATCTGTGGAATTATGTTCTTAAGACAATAAATATCTAAATATCGCTCATTTCGAAAAAAATGTTACTCAACCTGGAAAAATGTGAAAAGAAAATTTATTGAAGTAACGCGAACAGATTTTTTTTGCGAACGAAATTTTTTTATGGGAGAAGTGCTGGTTTTGTGTGTGTAATTGGAGTTTTTTTTTCACACATTCTGTATGGTTGAGTGTTAAACCAGAAAAAAGAAAATTCTTCGTATGTAATAGAAGATATAGAAAGGAAAACGGAAAAGTTTAAATTGGTGAAAAGCAATTGTGAAAACAAATTTTTCTAACCGGGTTTGTTGCTTTCAACATGGTGGTCTCAAAAGACTCTAAGCGTAAGCGCAAGGAGTCATCTCCGCCACCACAGCAACAATCATCTACAACTATAGAGTCATCACCAGAAATGCCCAAAAGGTGAGTTCATTTCCTTATAGTAGGTTTATCGTTTACTGCTGCTGGCTAGTAACCATTTTTGTAATATAATTAAAATTGAAAATATATATACATATGTGTGACTATGAACATTTTTGTAGTTGTTATTAAGAGGAGTGAGGAAATTTTTTCTCTGTTTTTTTATCTGGTATGGGTGACGTTGTGTTAGCGTTTGTAGCTAGTGTTGTATTTTTACGATTACAATGTTTTTATTCTTTAAAGAAAAAGAATGGGAGGCAAGGAGTTACTTTGTTATTGTTGTTGTTTTTTTCATTTTTCGTTTTTCGTACACATATATGTGTACAATATGTTTAAGAGAATTTATGTATATGAGTACACCGTATATTAACTTTTGTCTATAAAATTATTTACATATTACTTTGAAATTCATTTAATTGAATTCAAATGATCAACGGATATTGTTTCATGGCATCAATAGCCTCAAAATACTCGCTCTGAATGTAAAGAATAAATAACTGACACATTAATAAATGGTCTACTATGACAGACCTATTGGTGACTCGTAGATCTCTCAAGGCATACAAATGATTTGATGTATTAAGTAGGAATAAATATAATTGTCGTCGGCTGTCTGGCAAAAAAGAGTTTATTTAACAAGCAAATATTACGGTACAATTTTTTTTTTATAAATTAAATTCAAAAATTCATAAAATGGCATTTATCAGTTAATTTTTTTCTTTTACTTGAATTTTCCTTGTTCTCCTCAATCAGAACCAAAGTGCAGGCTCAGCGTAAATTTGCACAGGGACAAAATGCACCCCAATCGTCGTATAATTCAATTTTAGCTTCTTCGTCCTCCAATACGGGCCCAAGCACTTCATCTGAAAGCCGTGAACCACCCACGGAAATTCTTCCTAATAAAAGACCAAAGACCGAAGATTTTTTAACATTTCTATGCTTTCGTGGAACATCGGCACTGCCGCCACACTTGGACTTCCTAAATCAAGGGAAATCTAAAGAGCCGCCAAGACCAGTGAAAAAGCCTCCAAATAAAAAGTCTAATAAAAAAGGTAAAAAGGGAAGACCCCCGAAAACTGTTAAAGCAGATGAAGTCAAGGACACATCAACAGCTGAAAAAAATAATACCACAGATGCGGAAAAAACAGAGATTGAGCTAAAAAATAGTGGGATCGCGATTAATAACTCCGAAGAAAGGGATAAAATTGAAGAAAAGATTGAAGAAAGAGTTGAAACTAATGATATACCAACTTTTGCTGTCCGTAAACGTGCTGAAGTTGTTGCTGAGGGTAACAGAAGGAGCAACAATAATGTTGAGTCTGAAAAGTGTAATAATTCTGCAGACACGACTTCAAGACGTTCCAATCGTTCTAGTTTACGGGAGGCTAAAGTAGTACTAGAACAGCTTCCAGATGACGTGGAAGAAGCTTTACAAAGCTCAATCGTCGATGAAACTAGTAAGCCCGAAAATTCTGATGATGAAAATAAAGAAGCAAAAACTTCAAAGTCCACGTCAAAAAACGAAAGAAGTTCAGAAACTCCTTCCAAGGATAGTGATACCGCCGTTAAGCTTCGTAAAGGGAAAACAACAGCCAATAATCAGAAAAAAGAAATAGAAACGAGAGATATTGGAAAGGGTAGTTCGAAAGCAGAGCCCAAGGAAAAAGTCGCCATAAAGAGACCAAGACAAAAGGAATCGCCAATTTTTATTCCATCTCCTGAACCGTCTGGGCGTATGACGCGGCAGAGGGCATTTTTTGAACCCGTGAAGGTGCCACCTAAAGAAAACAACCAGATTAATACTGTTAACGACGTTGGGAATTCTACTGAATCTCCCCCAAAAGAAAAGACAGATACAACAATCGAAGACGAAGCTAAAACGATAATTACAAAAAAAGAAGAAAGTTCACAGAAAAAAACTGTGCAAAATGAAAGGATACTCGAAGAAAAAATCGAAAACACAAGCGCTTCGAACGTAGACGGTGCAGATAAAACCAAAGCAGACATGAATGTATTTGATTTTTCCTCAGAGGATGAACAGCCTTTAGCGAAAGCAATTAAATTTAAAAAAGTTGGAGCCGGTAAAACTAATACAAGAAAGGGTCAACGTGGGAATAAAAAGTCTGCATCTAAAAGAGCGGCAGCAACAAAGGCGGAGAAAAACGCAGACCGGTGCAAATCGAGAGAAAAAGAATCACAAAAAGGTGGTGCATTACAAGAGGGACTCGTTGAAGTCGAGAGAAATGAAGAACAAAAGGACGAATCTGCGAAATTTAAAGGGAAACGAGGTGCTTCGTTAAGTCTTGGAGGAAAAAATTCTAAGCAAAGAAGAGATGCTGAAGAACGTTTAGATGAAACTGATAAAGACGTGATACCTCAATCACCAAAAAAACCAGCAAACATCAAGCAGGGTCGCAAGAAAACGAAAGCTGAAAGTGAAAGTATAGGTGAACTTGAGACCGACGACAATCCAAATAGTCCACCGGTCCGAAATCAGCGCCCTTCTAGAAAAACAAAAGAGGCTGCTACTATCTATATGGGTATTATAGGCCATCGTCTTCAACTTGGCGATGACGAAGACGATGATATATCGTTAAGTAGTTTTGATCGTCCTAACGTGCGTGAGATGGAGAAAATGGAGAACGAGCTAAAAAGAAATATTACTGCCTTAAGTAAGCACAGCAGCACATCACCAATACCAGCAGCCAAACAGACGCAATTACCCGAAGAATCGCCACCGCCTGCAGTATCAACAATAAACGTTGAAAAACCTTGTGTCGGACGTCGAGGTCGCCCACCTAAAAGCCAAAAGCAGGTGGCAGCTCCTCCTGCCAAACGTGAAATAGAAGGTATGCTTGTAAAGAAGGGTGTACTAACCAAAATTGCCCAACAGACAGAGAGCACTTCAGATGTGAAAGAAGGAAAAACTGAACAGTCAAAGACTGGTACGGAAGAGGATGAAGATTTCCTTTTGAATGAAGAACTTAATGAAACCAAACGCAAACTTGAAAAAAGTTTCAGCGATTCTGATGATGAACCTTTGGCAATAAAGGCCAATGCGAAAACAAGTGATAAAGATGTAAGCGAACAAGTAGAGAATGCAGTTCCTGCAATTCCTGCCCCCGTTTCGTCTACATCAGACATTAAAACTCTCACTATGTTACCTCTAACAACAAAGCCTATTACTACAGTACCAACTCCCCCACCTCCTACAACTACGTTGACGACAACAACTTCATCTTTTGGCGTCACAAATGCTGTAACTTCTCCAACAACATCTAGCGTATTTCCTCCAGCGCCTGTTACGCCCTCATCACAAACGCCGTCGCCATTTAAAGTTGTGGAAAAAAAATCACCTGTTCCAACATCAAAAATTTTGAATGTTCCGGCCACATACGGCATTCCTTCTGCTTCGCCTACAGGCAATTTGGGTGCAGGCATCAATAACACTTTTGGTAAAACATCAATGTATGTCCCTCAGTCACCGGCACACTATCATTCTCATACATCGCATATACGATCACAGTATCCAGGTCAGAGCACAAAGTCGCCAGTTATGCCGCCCGCCTCATCTGCGACGGCCTCTCATCTCACTACATCTCCCCAATTAAATGCACAATCACCGTTAAAATATCAAACTCCACCAACAACATATCCACCTCCCATTGAGGCATATCCTTCACCGAAGATTAATCCGAACTTTTTAACGCCAAAATTCGACCGAAACACTTTGCCTCGACCAACCAACTTAACCGGTAATCATAATTCTTTTCCTTCACCATCTCCAGTTAAATTCGATATGTCGGGATCAAGCAGTGGTCTATTAAAAAATTCATCACTGTCTCAGGCTAATGTTACAGCGAGTTCCAAAACGTTATATACTGCTAATGTGGGCAATAACATAGCCGGTGCTTCAACCTCTGCGACAGCTGCAGCAAATCAGTCTGGTAACGATCCACTTAAGGACGAAATTGGTAGCATCCTTGCCGCAAATTTAATGCCGAGCAAAGAAGAGTCTGGAAAAATATTCGGAATTGCTAGTGTTAGCTTAGCTCAAAGTTCTGGTCCAGATAACACAAAGTGCACCCTGGGAAAGTGTGGGTCAATACATAAGCCCGTTCTGGGCCCAGTCGTGCCTACAGAAAGCTACATTGGTGATCAATTATCAGGTAAAGAACGACGTAAAGCTAAAGTGAATATGACTCATGAACAAATCCACAAATGGCTGATTGAATGCTCTTCGAATCCGGATGAAATTCAAGACGATCTGGAAGATGACTTCGATTCGGATCTAAGGCCAAACAATTACAGCACAACGCCACCTCCAACACGAGACGACAAAGAAAGTACTTCATTTAGCTCATCGTCGAAGGCCACTCGTGATCTTGGTAAGAGTGAAAGTGCATGGTCTGCAAAAGGACCCTCACTGAAAGCAACTCCTGTTGTTGCTTCCAGCAGCAGCGCCAATAACCGCAAAGATGATTTAAAATTAATGGAGCCAACAAGTCCCCCGGATGATGATCTAGATAAAGCATCGCCAATAATGAATTTGGCACGCGAAAAAACGGCTGAAAATAAGCAAACACCCTCGCCAGCAAGTATTGAAGAAAAGTCGCTGAAAATTGAAACAAGAAAAAATGATAAAAAATTGAAGGAAGAGAAATCTGCATCGAAAGAACCCGCAAAACAAACTGAAATGGATTCACCACAACCCAAATCTAGTGGCATGATCAGTAAACAAGCGGCCGGACACAAAGTTGCAAATCAAAAGAAGTTGGAATCTCCGATTATTACAACAACAGTTACACCAAACAAATCGAGTCGTAAAAAAATCTCAATAGATACCATTAATGAAAAGCCAATTAACTCCGGAATTCATGATGTATCAATAAATACTGCAGACAATATGGCATCAAGCACCGCAAATCGAACACCAAAACGTACGCCAGTCTATCAGCAAAAGCAAGCATCCAAACAACAACGTTCAGAGTTTAAAGAGACAACTACCACCAGTCATAAAAAATCGGCTCCATTCTCATATGGAGGCGCTTTTTCGGCCGACAACGAAAAATCGATATACTCTTTCGATAAGGATGATGTCGATGACGTTGAGTCTAACAAACCCACCACTTATCGCCGTCAAAGTAGAAGAGATTCGCAACAAGCGGAAGCAGGAAATGGTGGTAACACTACACCAACCACTAGTCAACGCACATCACCATCAAAGAAGAGAACTGCGGCAGCCGTAGAAAAAGCAAACAAAGATTTAGCAAATGCATCGCAAGCAAGCTCGGTCTCTTTGACGCTGAGCCCGACTGAAAAAAGTAAACTTGTTAAGGTCAGTTTAGATACCGAAGCAGTGTTACCGGTAAAACCAGCAACTAGCAAGTCTGGTAAAGGTACGAAGAAAACTGTAGAAACGATTGCGCCTACAAATGACGCGGATTCAGATTCTGCGGATGGACACACATTCTATATTCCGTTACAAGGCATTGGAACAAGTGGCGATGGCGAAGGCGGCATTCAGGGTGTAGCAGTCAAATTAGGACGCGAGGGTCCAGATGGTCCCAATCAAAAAGTTATCATGCATGCGACTTTAGTCACAAAGGCGCAAATGGGCGCTAACTCGAAACCGTTGCCCGAATCGATGAATGTTTCAGACATTGTAAAAAATCTAATGAGTGGTGGTGATAAGAAAGCTGCTACAGTTACAAATGTTGGCACAACAGTATCAACGAACTCTGCGCCAAACAGCTTGAAGAACGTGCCAGTCGGCACTGTGCAGCCTCGATTTAAAGGAGACACTTCTAATCAGGGACCCTCTACGTCGACTGCTGGCGGCGGTTTGGTACGTGTAAATTCCAATTCGTCTCTTTTTTCTGGATCAGTTAAATCCCGTAATGCTACTGGACCTTCAAGTGCACCTGTAGCATCACATGGCACCAATAAGAAGTTAAAAGACGATACACCTATTAAAATGGCGAACAATACTGCCTTTCCGCGTCATGATGATCCCACACAAATGGTAGAAGCTCCAATTTTCCGGCCTACCGATAAAGAATTCTCAGATCCAATTGAATTTATCGAACGCATTACACCAATTGCAGCACGCTTTGGCATTTGTAAAATAATACCACCAGCCAGTTTTAAACCAGAGTGTCGCATATCGGATGAAATGCGTTTCACTGCCTACAATCAATACGTGCATAAGATGTTACATCGTTGGGGCCCCAGTGCCAAGGAACTGAGTGCAATCAAAAAGTATTTAGCCACCCAAAGCATTGTCATGAATCATCCGCCGTGGATTGGTGGCATGGAAGTAGATCTGCCACGTCTGTATCATACTGTGCAAGAGTTGGGTGGTTTGAAAGAAGTGATTGAAAAGAAGAAATGGGCTCGTGTAGCTGAAGAGATGTGTATTCCGAAATTAGCTCAGGATCGCGTCACAAAATTGGATGACATTTACTGCAAATATTTGCTGCCGTATGATACCCTATCTCCAACTGAACGTCAGAAGCTTTTCGACGAAGTTGAAGCCGATTGGGCGAAGCGAGAAGCTCGAGCCAGACGTAATGCGGATCGGTTCGTGAATACGGAAAGCGTTTCGAATGAAGAAGACGATATAACTAGTGAGAATGACGAAGAGGAGTCGGAAGAGGAAGTAGATGGTGTCTCAATGGAGTGCATTGTTAAAGGTCGCAGTATGCCTTTAAGTCAGTTTTATCGCATCGCCCGCAATACCATGGCGCTATGGTTCAAGAATACCGAGCCCACTGTCAATGAGGTCGAGGCGGAGTTTTGGAGGCATGTTGCTGTCAGAGACAGTCATGTATGTGTACATTCCGGTTCAATTGATTCTTCAGGTTGGGGTTTCGGATTTCCTAGTCCTGGTCCAAAGGGTAAGGGCTCCAATTATGCTCGTCATCCATGGAATTTAAAAGTGATGACCAATAATCCCGGATCTGTACTACGTTCCTTGGGACCTGTGATGGGTGTGACCGTACCAACACTGCATGTAGGTATGCTATTCTCTGCCTGCTGCTGGTATCGTGACCCTCATGGGCTATCATGGATTGAATACCTGCACACAGGCGCGTCAAAATTATGGTACGGGATACCGGACGATCAAAGTGCTAACTTTAGAGCCGCCTTGACTTCACTCATTCCTACGCATTGCCAAAACAAAACTATTTGGCTGCCTTGTGATACAGTAATGGTGCCGCCCCATATGCTTACTGATCGCGGGGTATCTCTCTGTCGTATTGAACAAAAGCCAGGAGAGTTTATTGTTGTTTTTCCACGAGCGTATACCTCAAGCTTGGCGACCGGCTATGTCGTATCAGAAAGTGTATATTTCGCCACATCTTCTTGGTTAGATCTCGCAAAAGATGATTTCCGAGTAAGTTTGATTAAATCACTAGATCGAAATTTTTCTTTTATTAATTCAACGTCTTTACAGGACATACACGACAGTTGCGAACCGGCGATGTTTTCTTTGGAGCAATTATTATTTGCCGTAGGCTACGATCAACGGGTACAACCAGATACCTTACAACAAATGTTGCCCATGCTGCAAGAGGTATATGAGAAGGAGACGGCCGCACGAGAACAGCTTAAGGTAAATATGATTTAAAGATATAATCCAAATACAGAAGAAAAAAAAAGAAAAAAATGAATTTCTTCTTTTAACTTTATAGGCGGCTGGGGTAACTTCAACGGAAAAAGTTACCAATGAAAAAAGCGGAAAAAGTAAAAAACAGCAGCAGCCACCATATAAATCAATCGAAAGCGAATGCGATCTTTGTCGTGCCAATCTCTACATTTCGATGGTGCGTACCGATGAAGGTAACGTCTATTGCTTGCAACATGCTCTAAAAAATCTTAACAACGGTAACATACAGGCTAAAAAGTGTAAACTAATCTATGCGTACAATGTCGATGACATTGAAAATCTCATCAAAAATCTTAAAGATAAAATACAACAAAAACGCAATACTAGCGCTGGTAAAAAACAAAAATAGTTATATCCGAAAAAGAAACGAAAGAAAATCTATACTTAACAAAAAGGAAGAAAAACAAATTTTGGAAAAACAGAACACATTCAGTTCGACCGAACGCAAATGAAACCTGACGGTAGTGAAAATTTTAACTTTACAATAAAGTTAATTAAAAGGCAATATTTCTAACAAGCATAAGCATACATACACCCTGATATAAGTATATATGTAAATAATGTATTCATTAGGAATATATATTAAAAAATTATTACATTGCATACGAAAACCTAAAGGAAAACTATTGTATTGAAGGAGAAAGAAAGAAGAAAAAAAAAAAAAAAAAAAAGAAGCAAATACAACTTAAGCATAGGTGTATCTGCGTGTGCGTGTGTATGTAAAAATATAATTAGAATTTCTGTTATTTTAGATATTTATGAATTTAAAAAAAATTCGCTTATGTTTTTTTCACTTTTTAATTGTATTAAATATATTTCGCCCAATTTTGAGAAAAATTGTGCTTTGTGAAATAAAATCGTCTATATTTAGTAGTTAAGCTATTTCTTTTTTTTTCTTTTTTTTTATTTTTTTATTTTTACGCTGTTGTAATTTTGGGTTTATTACTTTTTCTAATTAGAATTAGAAGACATAACGAAAGGGGGAGAAAGAGATAAAGAAAGAGTAATTTGCTCCTTTTAGCACGACGAATTTTAGCAAATGTAAGCTAATATCCTAACGCAGTCATCATCTGTTAGCAAACGAAACATGCAGCATGGACATAATATATCCTTATTATTACAAATATAAAAGGAATCGCTGTTAAATTCGCACGTATAGGTATTCTCTTCTTTCCACCCCCTAAAATCCCCTCTAACGCTAGTTACATTATTAAATAAAAAAAAAAATAAAATGTAATAACAATATTGCACTAGAAAAGGAATAAAACAAAATTATAAAATCGACAAAAATAAAATAAAAAGCTTTTAGAATTGTAGTAAATACCTTCCACTCTTTTAAGCTTTTCTTCAATCTTACTTTTCTTTTCATCGTTATACTGTGAAAAAAAAAACTATTGTTTATATATTTAAAAAATAACTGAAAACTTGTATAAGTGTTTGCGCGATTTTTATTTTTAAAATATTTTATAATACATAAATGTATACTAACTATATAATGAGTAAATATTATTATCTCCTTATCTTGGCTTTCTTTTGTAATATTAAAACAAAACAAAAACGAAACAAAAAAAACATGAGTTCGAAGTATTTTTATTTTTTCTCACTTTAGATGTTTAATGTATTGTAGATATTAACAAAAAAAAAAAAAAAAAAACAAAAAAAAAATAAGAAGTAATAATGATAATAATAAATGAAAATTGTGCAACAAAGAAAAAATTAATCAAATCATTTAACCTTAATTAAAAAAAAAGAGTTTTTTTTTTTTCTTTAGCGATGTGAAATGAATTCAGACTGAGTTATTGAAGATTGCCTCATATTTCGATAGCTTCTGTAAGCTATTTTTGACATTTGTTCTCTACCAGGGGCTTAGTTACTCTCACGTTTAGTAATTTATAAGCTTAAACTGAACTTTCGAAAAATGTATTTAATTTAAACAATCATCATAGTTATATACTACTAACTGCCTCCTTCTTTGCAAGTTCTAAAAGAGATTTGTCACTGCTTCGTTACAGCTTATATTTGCTCCTTTACGAATAGGTTTTAAAGTAAACTTTGTTGTGTTTAAACTTGAACTTGAAAACTTTTGAATTTTTTTCCACTCTCTCTTTAAAACGGACGCCATCTCTCGTGAAGTACATTAGATGGCAATAGTGAAAAAGATGGTAGCGGTTTCGAAAAGTTATTGATAATCTCTCTTATACTCGTTTTCTTTTCATCAATAACTAAAGGGGATATCTAATATTTATCCCAATTATTGACATATAAGACGCAGAAGCATGCATATTCGTAAAATATATTCTTGAATCATGTAAAATTTCAAACCAATTTTGCAGCATTTATTTGCTGAAGGATCGCTTAAAACTTTACATATATATGCCATGTTGAATATCAAAAGTCGAATTTAAAATTACTACAAAAAAAGGTTAATTACCTTTGGCCGATATGTACCAAATAGTCTTTAAAAAATCTGAAAAGCTACGAGCTCAAAACATCGATTTGCCAAAACGTTCGCAACACGCAAAAGAATTTTCGTAAGCCCTATAAAGTATATGTATATTATTTATTAATCAGTATCAAATTCTGAATCGATCTACATAAATTAGAAATCAACTTTGAAATTTCTTGCGTTATGTATTTATAAATGGGTCAAATCGATCATATAATACTAGGGTAACCCACTGTTTTTCAAACAAAAAGAAAAAAATTATCTCTTCGCTTAATCCGCATAAACTGCAGCAGATACAACAATAAAACAATTTGTACATATATTCTCAAATCGTATCCTGATCCTATAGTAAGTGTACAAAATTGAACAAATTCGGGAACAAAACCGTATAGTATTGGAATATCATGTTTTCGCTTTTTTTTTTAAATTTTTTTTTCAAGTGTGGTTATGAAAATTCAGCCAAACATGAGCATATTTTTCTCATTGATTTTATTTCAAAGTCAAATAAATGAATTTTATTGTTAACTGAATAGTTTTAAACTAATGCAAGGCTTAAATCTTGCATCTGCTGTACAGAGTAGCATATCTAGTTAACACAAAAGGCAGATAATATAATTAACATATTTTTGGATTCTGAATTAGACTTTAGGTTTCTTAGGCAAATTACTACTGTTACTATCGATTACATTGTTTTCTTCCATATTGCTTGTTTCATCGCCATCGCTATAAGGACGTTTAATTATCGTACCATCAGAATTTACTTTTATATTCTTTGTAGAAGTCGGCTGCTCGCCAATCAAATCATCTCTTGTCATAATTGTAGGGACAGCTGACGATGATTGGGGCGGTGATGGCGGCTTATTGTCGCCTGAGGTTGGATTAATGTGCTTCATATTTGCTGAAATTTCACGATTTTTAGCATCAACGTCTTCAAAACGTTTTTTTAATTCAACAATTTCAGTTTTATATTCAGCAAGGGCATTCAATGCCTGTTGCAAGCGTTTTGATTGTAAAGTTTGTAATTGCTGCATACGATGCATCTAACGGAAAAACAATTTGAAGAGTACTAAAAGTTGCAATGGACTTTCATTATATATTCACCTGAACAATACCCCTTTTATATTCAACTTCAAGTTTCCTGAAATAATGCATTGCTGCTTTAGCCTCTGAACATCGCCCAGTGGACAGTTGTTGCGTTCCACCGTGTTTGTGTTGATGAGGTTCTCTGACAACGTTGCTTTTTAAAACTTTTACATGCATTACCTGACCAACGCGTTTGCTATCTATATATCCGGGGGTTCCATAATTATATGGTCTGAAAACAGAGGAAATTTCTTCGCCCATAGCGTTGAATGAAATGCTACCCAAGCCACTAGTACTGGCCACATTGTGGAAAGCGCAGCTACTACTACTACTTGAACTGCTGGCATATGACCTATCGTTACTATCGACAATTGACTTTTTCAAAGTGTTTATTATTTTATCATCAAAGTGTTCGATAGCCATTGAAGATATGTCTCTTAATTCTTGCAATACTTCATGAGGCCTCAAAGGTTTGTTCGTGGTGGATATAAGCACTAAAATGCGAAAGATCTCATCTAATACGCGACCTGGTATAAAACAGCATATATTTAAGTCCATATATTTGCCGTAAGTCATTGAAAGCATTGAAAGTCGAGTCTCGACAGATGTTAAAATATCGGCATGACGCGCCAAATTGTGGTTACTAAATATTACATAGAAAAACGTAAAGCGCATACATTTCCTCTTTAAAAATTTGCACACATATTTACCGTCTTTCAGATTCTCGTCTTGGTAGTAAGGCCTTGATGCGTTTAAAGCTCAAGCTATGCTGCTTCATGGCTTTGTTAAAGCCCCTGTTAAGGACTTGCTGACATTGTTGATCGAATCGGCGACAAACCTTTCGGAAATCCATAAATTTTTCCATTTTCTTCATTTATTAAATCAAATTTATTCTACTTACCAGCCTTGCTTTAGATATTTCTTCGTAGCTTAAGTGCTCCAAAATGTCCATAAAAATCTCCTTTGGCATATCAAACAAATGCATCTTCATCCAAAAGTTTTAATTTTTCCCTGCTTTGAATCAAAATTTACGTGCAGTGCGTGCGAACTTTTCTTTTCGGAGGATCTAGAATAAATGGGATTCCAGTGTTGCAAACTCAAAATAGGCGAAAAATGTAAAAATATGCGTTTTTTGTTTTCGGCAAAATCAGCTCAATTTTTAAATTTAAAGCAAAATATTTGCACAAAATAGACATATATCAATATATATATGTACGTAGAAATATATCGGCAGATGTATTGCGATTTAATTCAATTCGGAAATTGTAAAGTCGTGAAAAATTCTCTAAAGTATATGATTTTTTTTTTGACGTATATACTTGTTCACAAGAACAATCTTGGTTTTTTTTGTTTGATGTTTAATGCTCGTATAATTTTAAAGTGTTTTTAGTTGATTTTTTGTTCGATGTTTAATGCTTGTATAATTTTAAAGCGTTTTCAGTCATGAATAAACACCAATACAAACTTTGATAATGAACAAATTTTATAGATACATACATATAAAAAATTCATTACAGAAATTAAATATATTTGATTAAATCCGGGGGTATTATTATTATTATTATTATTATAAATTTAGCCAGAGAATAAATTCTAAGACTAAAGTCTTAAAGCACTAGCATCTAGGGCTATCGGCTTTTATTAAAAAACTCTACCGCACTTAAGGTTTGAACCCACGACTATTGAGTTGCTAGTCGAGACTCTTGCCTACTCAGCCACTCAGGCGGATAATCCGGGGGTAATCACGTACAAATATAGAAGAAAATAGCTCAGGATTTCAATGACATGTGCGGTTTACCTTACTGCATTGATGCTTGTTGCTCGCCCTTTAAAGTCTATATCTCTTTGTTATAACTATAGAGGTGAGCATTGGTGTTAACAAATAGGTATATAAATTTTATAAAACTTGTTCGATAAGTCGTTTCTCTATGGTATTGTTAGGAATCTGTAGATGTCAGAGCTCATGGTTCCGCAAACAACAACGACTATCATTTTGCCATCGCCGTGCCTTCCACGCTTTCTGCGCTTCTTTATAATTGCGTTTATTCTGCCTATTACCTGACCTTTTGGAATTCCAGAAATCATTTTGACAGTATTCTTAATCTTGAATTTTATTCATTAGACTGAATTCGAAAAATTTTTATGTTAGTCCCCACAATGTGTTTAGTTTTATGATACCAATGCAATCTTATATCTGTATTAATCACTTCGTAATTGACAAACTGCCATTTATTACTCAATAATTTGCTAAAACAATTTGATGAATTTCAACATTAAAGTAAATCGTCTTTATTGTTTGTTTTCCATTCCTTACAAAATAAGTGTATGATAAACATAAATTATTCAACATTTCTACGTGTCGGTTTTCTTATTTTTGTTCTACTTGTATGTATATATGCAAAATTATATCGTTTGTCAATTCCCATAAGTTTTGTAAAAAGTGGGCAAAGTCTGAGTCCCAATCCGAAAATAAAAATAATGCCTCATTGTGTTGTCTCCCTTAGTTTTTTCACTTGTTCTTATTAGATACGTACAATTAGTGTACGACATTGTGCAAAACTTCATAACATGTTTCTCAAGAATTAAAATATAGAAAAAATTTGTCACCTGTGGCAATACCACCATAGGTTAATTTCTAGAGGTTTTTGGATATTAATTATTTTATTGTATGTAAATATAAACTATATATAGATAAACAATGGCTACTTATTATTTCGTAATAGTTGGGCATAATGATAATCCAATCTTTGAAAAGGAATTTACAACGGCTGGCAAGGAAACCAGGGTAAATATGCAATGATCAAAACTAAGACTTGTTAGCCATAAGAGTTGATTACGATTTTTCCTTGATAGAAAGAAGATCATCGTCACTTGAATCAATTCATAGCCCATGCTGCTTTGGATTTAGTGGATGAACACAAATGGAAGACACCGAATATGCACTTAAAGTCAGTAGATCGTTTTAATCAATGGTTTGTCTCAGCTTTCGTTACTGCTAGCCAGATACGTTTCATTATAGTTCACGACAACAAGAACGATGAAGGCATTAAAAACTTTTTTAATGAAATATATGAAACTTATATAAAACATGCTATGAATTCATTTTACAAAATTAATACGCCGATCAAATCACCTACGTTTGAGAAGAAAGCTCACTTGTATGGTCGCAAATACTTACTCTCCTAAAGAACAAACGAGATAATATATATATTAAATTATATATTTAGTTAGAAATATTTGTAATTTAGTATCACGTAGCATATTGCTATGGTTTTTTTTTTTTTGTTTTTTTAATAAAGCATTAGTTTCTATTTATTTGAAAAATTATGCATATAAACATAATAATAATAATATGTATTTAGATTGCTCACGGTGCAATTTACAATTAATTTAGAAAACAGGATACACAATAATTTTATTATTTAAATGCACACAGTTCTTATTATTCTTTTTCTTAATATTTTGTCATTACAATGACATCGAATAATTGCGCTAAAGTAATCAATATAAAGAATTATCTAAAAAATGAACAAAAAAGTAAATGGGGTAAAAGAAACAAAAGGAACATGGAAAAGCTATTATGTAACAGAGTGATGACTAACTTGTTTGCAAACATATAATTTATAACTTAATTATGTAAGCATATATGCGTTGGGTTTTTAAAGATTGCAATTCATCTTACTGATGGTCAATTCACTAGAGAAGAAAGACAATTGACTTTAATATATATAGAAAATTATATAAAACTCGTAAATAAATAATTAAAATTGAGTTGAAAATCGAAATCATTTAACAGCGTAACCGTTTGGATTGTTACTTTGCCAACGCCAAGTATCCAAACACATGTCGTTGATAGTTCTCGCAGCTGTCCAGCCTAAAGCTTTAGTCGCTAAGCTAGCATCGGCATAACAAGTCGCTACATCACCCGATCTCCTTTCTACTAATTTATAGTTGATTTTTTGGCCAGAGGCCTTTTCAAACGCGTATACCATTTCTAAGACAGAATAGCCTAGGCCAGTGCCTAAATTATATGCGAAAAACCCTGTTTCGGCAACGTTACGTAATTTATCTAAAGCTCTAACATGACCTTCAGCCAAATCAACGATATGAATATAATCTCTTATGCCCGTGCCGTCTTTGGTTGGAAAATCCGAGCCATAAATTTGTAGACAACTACGTCTTCCTACAGCTACTTGGGCTATATAAGGCATTAAATTGTTAGGTTCTCCATTGGGATCTTCACCAATGCGACCGCTAGGATGCGCACCTACTGGATTGAAGTAACGTAATGTGACAACAGCCCAACGCTAAAGATAAATAACATAATATTTCATAATATATATATATATATATATGTATATTTACATGTGCGAATATACACACAAAACAAACCTTATCCGATTTACAAAGATCCTTTAATATTTCTTCTGTAAAATATTTGGTTTTTCCGTACGGACTGGTGCAATTGCCGGTGGGATGCTCTTCAGTAACTGGCAAAAATTGCGGTTCCCCATAGACAGTCGCACTGGAGCTATATACAAATTTGAAAACATTATTATCGGCCATAGCTTCTAACAGTACATTGGTTCCGGTCAGGTTATTATGATAATATTGTAACGGAATACGGACGGATTCTCCAACAGCTTTTAAAGCCGCAAAATGCGCTACTATATCGATTTTGTTCTGTTTTAGGGAACAAAAGAAAATAATCGAATGTAAGTTATAATACAGTGTAGTAAAAATATATTATGATTGCATAAAATGAAATCTTAAAAAATTCAACAATTTCTTTTATTTTTTAATACCATTCATATGAAAATGCTGTGTAAAAATTATTTTATAGAAAAACAAAAACAAAAATGAACAGAAACTCTATTCTCTGTTGATTGCTACAAACTGAGTATCGCTAGTTCTTCTAATTTTTGTAGTAACTTTCCGTAGCTTTCAAGCGAATGGGAGATCTCTCAACTCGGAAACGGTCCATATTTGCTGGTTTGACTGACTGCTGCTAAGGCGTACAAATAAATTCTTAATGCATCCTTTATAAACAGAATCGCATAATCAAATATGTTTTATCAAATATATTCGAGAAGAATTGTGAGAAATTATAGTGAGACAGACGGTTGCTAACGTTTATCCCTATTCTCAATTATTTGAAAATAATGCGGACCACGACAAGCCTATCACTAATAATAATGTTTAATGCCCCTAGGCCCAATAGCCTAAAAATGCTAACTATTTGACGATCTTTTTGTGGTACACACACATTATGATAGATAGATTATAACATTCACTTTTCGAATAAAAAAGTCGATCGTTCTTTAATAAACATAAATGTTGAAATAAATTTATTGAAAATCTCCTCCGTGTTTCTTCGATGATATTAATTAATTAATTAATGAAAAAATTTGAAAAAGTACAATGAAAACTGGATGAGGATGCTGCGGGCCGTTTTGGAGAAAGCGCCTTTGAAGAAAAGTTTTTAAAAGTGTATTCAAGACATGTCTTTTAAATTGCAATAAATTTATTTTATTAATTTTTACGATTAGTCTGCTATTCCATCATCACCGGGCTTTAACTTTATTCTTTATCATTTCCTCTTTTCTCGAAAATTATCACGAAGTGGTAAAGAAATTTGTAATTTTATACTCAGTTTCATAGTTTATTTCCTTGGCAGAAGCATACTAACACCTCTCGAATTGTTATAGGTTAGGGTTTTAGAGAAATGAAAAACACGAAATGTAACTTCCCAACAGAAATTTATTCCATATGCACAGTTGTTTCGGAGCACTTCGGAGGGAAGAGCTCGAAATATCGAGAAAATAATTTCTCTCAGATAAGTAATTTTTCCCTATATTTTGCAGCGATTCTCTGTATTCAAAAAGAAAGTACCCAAGTGCCTAAATGTTTATTATACCCACCACTGTACGGGGATATATTCATTTTGTTATTTTTTTTTTTCGTTATGTATGCAGGATCCAAAATGAGGCTTTATAAAGTATATATATATATCTCTATATATATATATATATAAACAAATTATATACAAACGGACAGACATGGCTAAATCAATTCAGAATTTCATCCTGATCAAGAGTATATACATATATATATATATATATATATATGAATATGCGTGTTTGTTATATACATATATATATATATATATATATATATATGCGTGTTTGTTATTGGCACTCTTCTGATCGTCTTAACAAGATATCGATTTCAAATTTGGCAGAAAGATTGGAGATTTTTACAAGCAGGTTTAAAAGCAGGCCAACTTAGCCAGAGCAGAAGTTCCCAGTTGAATATAAACTGAACGCAATTCCATTATTGTTAACAAAAAATTGTGGATTTTTGCTCGCTGAAGAAGGCTGCAATTTTCCAAATTTATGTTACAAAACATCGTCGTCTACTCGTTGTGGGCAAAAAATGGGAAAAAAAATCGGCCCCGCCCACACACAATTATAAGTGAATAAATTTTCTTTTTTTTCACTTTTTTAATGAATTTCATATTATTTTCCTTAACGATGAAGATATATTATCTGCCTATAAATGGGTTAATCCTAAAATGAATGTGGTAGACACCGCGATTACTTTTTTTCTTATATCAATATCGGCGATATGGGTATCAAATAAAAGAATTTGATGAGTAGAATGCGAAAAGCATAGTAATAGTAGTGGGTGTGCGAGATTTATGCCTTGACGATTGCAAATTTTTTATTTACTTTTAATATAATAAAATCATTATAGGAAGAGAAAAGCGACAAAGAAGAAAAAGTGAAATTTTTTATTGCAAGAAGAAGAAAAAGCGAAATTTTTTAAAATTTTTAAAAAAATTCAGTAACAAAAATAGAAACAAAAAGTATTTAGGTATTGATAAGAATTTTTTATTACTGTTCTCGCATAAGAATTGGACCAACATACTTGATACGTATTGAATATACGCATTGTTTGTGCATATATATGTGTAAGCATATATATACATGATAAGCATACATACACAAACGTATGTTCATACATTTCAAGATAATTTCGCTTATCGCAGCAGTTGACAGTTATAGGAAAATTTTAAAAGAACTTTACAACAAATTACATTAAATTGTTTAAAATATAAATAATATATAAATAAAATAATATAAAAAATGACGTTTATAGATAATGTCGTTATTGTGCGATGACTTGCTGAAGCCCCGTCTAAACTATTTGAACATGATATTCCGTTCCCACAAAGATTCTATGATTTTTGATCGAAAAGAAAGATAAACAATACGTGATTTTCAACGTGAGATCAATTTTAAAAGCAAGTTCCAAAAAACATTCAATGAATCTCGTAAAAATCTATAGATCGATAGAATCATAATTCGCTCCGAGCTGTAAAATGAATGCGTTAGCATCTACGTATCAAACAATTTCCCTTCATTGGGTACAAGTGTTCTACAACTGATGAAAATGAAAACGCAGTTAATGAAGTCGTGAAAATTTTCCGATCGACGCCAGTGAATCAATAAATTCGTGCATATGTTCCGAAAGTTGCCTTATGAAAACAACATGATACCGTCCAGATATAAGAATTGCATCATTTTTTGCGCATGGCGCAGAAACGTACAATATATCTTGACCGGATATAATTTCTTGGCTCAATTTTTTTTAAGTCTATTAATTATGAATTTTCCATTGAATTTATTTAAATTAAAAAAATATTTGCAAGCAGTTAACTCAATTAGCACGCAATTAGCATTCATATTAGCATACCTTACCTCTTGGAAAACGCCACGTAATTGTTCCCGATCGGTAATATCGACACGATAAAAATGAATTTTTTTACCAGTAATTTCTTGGACGCGAATTAAAGCTTCTGGTAGTTTGGCTGTACCAGCGCTATAAGCATTACAGAGATTGTCAACGCATACAACATTATAGCCAGCATTAAGCATTTCTAAAATCGTATGTGAACCAATGTAGCCGGCACCACCTGTTACCAAAACAGTAGGAGGGGCCATAACTGTAAAAAAGTAAAAACGCAAAATTTTATTCTCTTTACATCATATACACATAGTGGGGAGAGAGAGAGAGAGAGAGAGTTGTCATCTACTTTCTTTTTCATCAGAAATGCAAAAAAAAAAAAAAAAAAAACAAGAAGTAAAATCGACTTCAATTCTGTCTAGATGATGAGAAGCTTCACTTAAAAATAGCCAATAAGTAATTTACGTAATAAGCAAATGTTATATAATAAGCATTAAGTTATTTAAGCTGGTGAAATCATTGAACAATAGACATATCATCTGACCGTGTTGATGATGGCCAAGGCCTTAGAGCAGAAATAGCTTCGACTTAGCCGCTTTTGTCTCTTAAGAATGCGAGATTATCATTGCGGCACTTTGCTGCAAGTTTGAGATTGGAATTTCGAACACATTGGTCCGCTTTAACCCATGCTGGTGTAATAAATACGCCTGGCTGTCACGGCTTAAACGCTTCCTAACCCTTTAGCCTGGACAGTATTTGCCGGCTGCATGAGAATTAGTAAACAGGAAGATTAGTCAAGGGCCGGGCTATTCAGCTATTAGGCCTTGCACCAGACCTGGCGCAAAATCTATGCTTATCATGACATGTATACTTCGGTGAACCAAAATGATGTTTGGTAGCAAATAAATGATGAAAAAAAAAATGCTGTCATTTTATGCACAAATTCCTTACCACGAGACAGACTCGTGTTCTTCGTTTATGGTGCAAATTCTTTTCTTATCACGAGTCAGAGTCGTGGTTGTAAGCCAGTGGATTAAGTAAGTTTGTATTAGTTCTTTTAATTCTAGGCGAATTCTAGGCATCCAATAGAGTTCCTGAATAAATAAAAGAATCCAGAATAATAGCATCTTTTCAAAAGCACCAGCTCCAGGGGGCACTGTATGCAGTGAACATTTCATCGCCTTTGATTGAGCCTAAGTGTACGGTAGACATTATAAAGTTATCAATACAATGCTTACAACGACTTGGTTTGTAATAATGATAATCTTTATGTGCAGATACAGTAGTCGGCCCTAAGCGACTAACCTATCTCTCAACGAATGATTGACAAACGTAGAACGCGAGACGCGGTACTCCTCGACTCGCCTGAACTATACGAATTGTTTATATTCATATATTAACGCAATGAGAAGTGGAATGAAAATTACTATCAAAGCATTGTTTCATTCTTCTTCAAGAACTAATTGAATACTCTTTAGTGTTGACGATTCCACAATCACAACGCGACGCATTTCTCCTTGTAGAAAGTCTTCACTGTCATATCTATATTAAATTTTCGTTCCTCGGTGACCCAAAAGCTACGCATGCTGCTACTTTTCATACTCTGATACGCCGCCGAACTTATAACTAAAACGAACAATATGACGACCATGGCGCTTATGTTAATTCGATTGAAGAAGGTTCCCTTAAAAATGTATTCAATATTTGAATTAGGAAAATTAGACCTGGCCGAACTCGAATGCGAGACATAATCTATATAATTGATTGTTATCGGCTTTGGTGTTTGCATTGCCGTATTAGAGTACAATAAAACAATAATCAAAAATTTTTGTAACACTGCACTACAATGTGAAGTTCAACGATGCAATAGTGAAATCATATAACGTTTGATCTAAAAGGTCAGCGATAGATGGTGCTATATCAAAGGTAAACACAAATTTCGGAAATGGCTAATAATTATCCCAAATACGGTTTTATTTTTGCCTCTCGTTTAAACAAAGCAATGAAAACGGAAAGTAGTTGGTCTCTTTCAAAAGGGTTGAATTGATCCGTTTGACTTAAGATCTTGAGAAATGCATATACCTTAAGAAGTCTAAATTCATACAAATATTCTTAATACCTAGAACCACCGACGTTTTGGATATATTTATTTCTACCAAAAGGGATCATTTCCATCCTTTATCTTTGTCAACTTGCCACAGTCGCAGCAATGAGGCTAGAAAGCTGAAGTTTGTCTCAAACATTCCTTGATCGATGGCGATTAAAAATCCGATTTTCAAAAAAATTATTGTGATCTGCTTGCTTACAAGCCCACTGTGAATGAGCAAATAAGGCAATCTCGGAAAAGAAACGATAACGTTTTCAACCTTCGATCCCGTAAAGATACTTCACAAAAACCTGCTGACTAAATATGCGTCAAATCTATCTGCAGATGTTTTCACTGGTTCTAAGATATCATTGAACCGAGATAAGTTAAAATTAAACAAAAAACGAGAATTTATTACTAACTCAGTTTAAATCAAATTTTTGAATTCTCGCATATATTTGCTTTTTTTTTTTTGATTGAACGACTTTTTTATATCCACCGCTAGAGATTGAAGGTATGCTCACCGCATAATAACATTTGCAACGCCCAAGAGGTACCTTCGAAGACTCGTAAACAGTATATATATATATATTCTTGATCAATATCCAATTCTGAAACGAACTAGAAGAATGCTTACCTCTCCATGTCTGTGTACGAGTGGGTGAAACATATTCTCTCAGCCGCAAGAATGAAGATATCGGCTTCAAATTGGAAGCTCTTGCGCGCAGGCTGGCATTGAGAATGGACCAATTGGTTTAAAGAACGGAGGATAAAAATAATTGGATACAACGATACCATTGTGCCTATAGTATCTAAATTACCTTTATAAAAGCGGAAAAACTTGGTTACGCCCATCTTATATCACAGAGTGCAGAAATTTTCTTTTTTCGAGTATTTTCGCAGTTTTTTTTGAAGATAAAGGCAGTGTGGCATCCGGCTATAACTTTTTCTGTTTGTTTCTCTGTTTTAAATCTAAGAAAAATCGCCTGCCATAAGAAATTATAATATAAATTAAATAAGTATAAGTATAAGAGTCTTGCAACATATATCGCGTATGATAGCTCAATTGATATTGGAATCCGGTCTCAGCAACCATTGTTACACAAAGGGACACAATATTTTTAAAAGGTAACGTACAGAACTGACAGAATATGGAGAGAAATGTTTTTGTCACGATTTTGATTCTATTTTCCTAAAGCGAACTTTCTATATAACAAATTTAATATCCATCATTCCTGCTCTACTTATCTCTAAAGTTATTCATTATATTAAGACTATACATGAAATAAATTTTTATTACTTATTTTACTAGTTGTTGAGAAGAAGCAAATGACAACGAAATACTTATTTATGTTTCTTTCGTAAAAAGGCAGAGTGAAGAGATTTTGAATATTATACGACAGTCTCAAGTTTATCAGTATCCCAAGATAGGCCGTTATCAGAATCTGTTTGCTAGTCATCATTTTCTTGCAGCGTAATGACTTTAAAAGTAAATAATTAACAAAGTAAAAAAAATTGACGTCATCATTTATAAAATATATAAATGAAAAAAGTTTATATTTAAACTTTAGATGACAATATTTGTTTTGTATTTTGTGAAACGTGAACTACTTGCTGGCTGCTGGATAAGCCGTAAATCAAATCAAATACGTTGTCAATATGTTTACGTTTACTTATGAAGATGAGTTGCAAGCACACTAACACTATGATATATTTGGTCTAATCAGCAGCATTTGATTAAAAACACCAAAACTGGTACAGCGAGAATGTAATAACGTTTTCCTCATAATGGCTTTGGTATTTATATATTTTCATGTATTGAATGCCTAAAATCATTTTTATTTTTATATTTTTAAAATTTAATGAGAGTTGTTAGATTTCACTTATTTTATTAAACTGTTTTGTTTTTTGCAATTTATACAAAACAACAAGCTGTACGGGATATTAACTTACTTATTAAATTTAGTTACACGCACTAAGTCTGGTATATGCCGCTCTTCTTATTAGACTATGTCAAATGTTATTAATTTCTGCTCATATCCCAATTGAATTTCTGTTCACGATTGTTTATAAACAAGCACAAGACTTATCAAAGCGTTATCAGCGTTTATCTGTTTATATTCAAGTGATTGATTCAATATTTTCTTTTGTGGAGATAGTTACATACTTGACACAATTTCATTAAATATAAATTACTTGATATTTGCGGCTATATTTTGTTTTCTATTCTTGCGATATGGGTCAGGGTTGCCAAATTTTTTTATTCACTTTTAATATATAAATGTATGGGTGTATATATACATATCTTTAAGACCTAAGTCTTAAACTAAACTCGGCTTAATGACGTACTAGCTTAACGTCTTGGTAAGTATCCCCCCACACATGCCATTGCATGCAACGCATTTGTAGTAAAACAAATTTTATTATGACTCAGCAACTCTAAACAGATAGTTGACTGAAAGGAAGCTTTTGTATATAACGAATTAAATTCAACAGAAAAATAAAAAAAACAGCTGTTTCCCTATTTTTACGGACAGTTTTAAGGATTATTTAGAAGTTTCTACCGAGTTATAACAAGTTCACTTGCAGGAGAAAATGTCGCGGTACGTGAAAGCCGTAAGTATCTTAAAAACAATAATTTGTGATTTTTAGAATTTAAAAATGGACATCTAGTGAAAATGAGCACAAAAATAGAAAATAATTGTGATAGTTACATCATAAGCAAATGTTTGGAGAAATGTTTGGGTGTCCTTTGTTTTATTGAAGATTTTATATTCCATTAAGACAAGAAGATAAACCCTTTTTTATTGAACAGCCAAGTGCAATGTAGTTGTATTTTTTTTCTGATCTTGCTGATGAAAGTACTTATTTTATAGTCGACCGGTCTAACTGGCTTGGCAGTGGCCGTCAATCCCCATCACACTTTAAATGCTTTATATGGGAAAATTTTAAGAGCTGTAGCCAAAATGCCTGACGATGCAGCGTATCGTAAATATACTGAGCAAATAATTAAGGAAAGAGTAAAGGCCGTCGAAGGTGTAAGATCAACGACATATATAATATTCTAGTCTTAAAAACATGGAAAAATAAATTTTGTATAATTCTAGAATAAAGACGTAATCGCATTAGAAAAAGTCATTGGTTGCGGCCAGGTTGAAGAGCTAATTGTACAAGCTGAAAACGAATTGGTTTTGGCTCGTAAAATGCTGGGCTGGAAACCTTGGGAAAAGTTGATACAGAAAGCCCCACCTAAGCAATGGGATTGGCCACCAGCTCAAATTCAAGAGCCCAAGATTTAAATTAAGTGTAACCATGAAAAATGAATCAATAAATTATTATGAACTAAAAAAAAGAAGATAACTGAACATACTACAAACAAGTAAGAAAACTATATTAATTCAGTTAGATATGGCCTTCAGTAAATACGAAAATACTTCTAAATTATATTTATTATACATTGCGCGAAGCGAGCATGTGTTCACCTAGGACACGTACATGAGTTATGAGTAAAGACTCGTCATAAGGTACAATAAATTATGAAAATATATTGAAATTATTATTTTACTCGAGATCAGTTCAGCTCTTTTATTGAAATTATTCGCGAACCTTTGGTTTTGAATCAAGATTGTGTGTTTGTAAAAATATTTTAATTTTCTATTATCACTTGCTTGATTGGGAATTTTTACCAATAACACCCGGTCTAATTCTAAGTATTATAAACTGAATAATACAAATAGTATATTTCTATTCATGTGATTTGTTAATAGTTATAAAAAAATGAATGAAATGATGAGTTCAATGCTTACGGTTCAAGTTTGCATTAAAACATTAAGCTTCTGGCTGTTTTGTAGTTAACTTATCGTTGCGGCCTTAAAATTGATTATTAAAATTTAAGTATTTGGAGAAGGTTTACGAAAGATTTCTTTGACAGTCATCGGTTGAATTTTGCTTAATAAACTCGCAATTTTGGTTTAATCGAAATAAAATTAAAATGCTTAGTAAAATTATAATTTATTTCTTATTAATATATCTGAATGCTTATGTACAGACTGCACCTTCAAATGCACGATTAAGGCGTCAGATTGATGTAACGTTATCGGCCGAGCATGACGATAAAGAGGATGAAACAGAAATTGTTTTAGAAGCTATCGCCAATTTATGGCGCAGTTCGGATGGTAATACGCAAATAGAAGGTTCTGCCAAAGTCATACATCGTTCGAATTCATTTCAAGATGGTAATAATCGCATTAGTGCACGTTTACATGTGCACCATGACTATGCCAAATTAAATAACAATAGATGTGTCGGTTTAATGTCCTGTTAAAGGTCCAAACGATTGGCGTCTGGGTGTACGTGTAGTATTTTCATAATGCATGCATTTCCAAAAAGAGAGAAACAGAGAGAGAGAGAGAGTAAATAGTTATTGGATTAGAGAGTATCAACGATTCTTGATTATTCTGTGCATCAAATATTCTTTGATAAACTTTTGAACTTTTGAACACTGTGCATACTGTGCTGCATAATAAGAAGAATGATTTGTTAAAATATTTAGTGTTTACAAAATAAAGTTTTTCAAATATACTTAACATTCATTGTCGAATCGATTGATTTGTTTTCTTGAATGAACACTATGAAACCATGAAACAAATTTCTCTCAAAACTCTTAACTTCAATGTTAAATGTTTTCTAAGGAAATTTTAGCCGCGTAAGTCGGGTAAAACTTGCTTTCGTTTCGTTGTTTGAATATGATCTAGTATTTCGAAGACTGGATAATTAAACTCGTTAGAAAAGAGTTTTTTAACGAAGCCACAACGGAGATTAGAAGATTATTTTGTCCAAAATTCCGTACAGTGTCAACTTTGTACAATTCAATTCTTTCTTAAGCAACGGTACAACTATCAGAAGATGCAACGGAAGGACGCATTATACGTTTTGCCCTTAAAATTTGCTCTTTCCCGTCGCAATACGCTCAGCGTATCGATTTTTCTTTCTCAACGATACGTGGCATTGGACCTGACGTCATTTCCATTGACATGTATGTAGTATGAGTATTCAGATCCATTTTTACCTTGACAAGCTCATCTATATAATAAAATACAATAGAGTTGCAAAGCAATGAATAAAGCTGAGTTACTGCTGTAGATTGCATTAAATTCATAAATATTTTGGACTTAAATAGGCAATGTCATCTTAATCATCGATAATGTATACAGGTAGTGCATCTGACAACAGATTCATTTTAAATGAGAAATATCTGAGACTTGTTGTCGATAATGTTGTACGTAGATCAAGACTAGTTGCTAGAAATTGCGAACTTTTGGATAAGAAGTGTTTCGCAAATCATCTTTGATAAGTGCAAGCGTTTTGCGTGATAATAACAAGACTTTAGTTCTCAAATATTGTGAATCTTAGTAGCGTGAACTTAAAGTAAAAATTTTTGTTTCTATTTTTGTTTTAACGTAAACAACTGATGCACCACGTAATTTTCTCTTTTAATGTATTTTTTCTACATAAGACAAATAATAAATTTTTATATTAGTTTTTTTATTATTTATTTTTAAAAACGTAAAGATTTCATTACAACATTTATGAAATATCTTCAGTGGCCATATTGGAAATTCTTAGTATTTGGTTGTTGCTGCTGTTGTTGTTGTTGTTGTTTTTTTTTTTTTTTTGTTTTTCATTCCGGTAATTTTTTAGATATTTCTGTTAAGAGCGTTCAATAGCAAAAAAGTGTTTTTTTTCTTTATTTTCTTTTTTTTTCTTTAATATATTTCGTACGTACGTATATGTAATGTTGTCTGTTATTCGTAATTATTTTTGTTTAATTAGTTTTTCATTAATAAGTAAATTAATTACCACACAGAGATTGAAGTTTATTTGAATATGCTACGGTTTTCTCTTTTCATTATAATTTTTTATTTTTTTTTTTTCCCATAATTTTTGTTGATCTTTTCGTAAACTTTAGGTTTTTCTTTAATAAAGTAAAAAAAAAAAAAAAAAAAAAACAAATAATATCAGGAAATCATAAAAAATAATAATAATAATAATAATAATAATAATTGAACTAATAGATCTTTCTTAAAAAAGGTCAATTTATAAAAATTTTTTTTTTTCTTTAATCACTTTTTGTTAATTTTGTTATGACTATTTTAATGCAATTTTGTTCATCTATGGTTGGCCTAAAAAATTATTAATTTCATCTTTTTTTTTCTTTCTTTGTTAATTTTATAATTAATTTTTTACGTTATTTTGATCACAATTTGATTTCTCTGACACATTTTCGTGCTAATTTCCTTTTATTTATTAATTTTTTTTCTTGCCTTCTTAATAAGCACACTGTTTAATTTTTGTCTCAAGCCAAAAGGGTTTGTAGTAAGTATCCAAAAATATTTCCATTTTTTTTTTTATAATTTTTTTTTTTTTTTTTTTTTTTTTTGTTATTTGGTTTATGTTTTTCCTTTTGAACATTACTGTATAAAGTTTATAATTAATTTTTATACAACTTAAAACTTATAAATCCCAAAATTTTGCATTATTATTATCTTTTATTATTATTATTATTATTTTTTTTTTTTTTATTTTTATTTTTAATAAACACTACTTAAGATTATTAAACCAAACTATAATTAATTGTCATCTTAATCAGTCGCATACATAATAATTATGTCGCATTAAATAAAGATGCTTTTTTTTTTTATGTATATACTTATGTACATTTAAAAATAAATTTCGATGTTTATTGAAAGATAAATAAATATTTGGACTCATCGAGCAACAAAACCAAATAGATGGTAAAAAAAAAGACACGTATAAATAATTCTAAATTGAAAGCTGAACTAACTTTAAAGCAACTGTTTACAACGATTGAACACTTTCAGTCATAATTATCCAACAATATGATCGCAAAGCGATATTTCATCGATTAAGATTAACAGAAGACGGCTTCAAGAATGTATATGAACTTAGGGGAAAGCAATTTACAATTCATTTAAATAAAAAAAAAAAAAAGAAAGAAAAGCATAAAAAGATTATGTCTACTCACGCGATCCCTCCCCATCTAACAGCAATATCTATTTAACAGGGATTAGCATAAGATAATTTTCAATATGTACATAAATGATAAGACGGCGGCAAATGTTGAACAGCAATTAGAGATGAAAGAACTGCTAAGCACAATTTACATTATGCCGATACAAATGGTCAAAGGTTTGTGGTATGATCATCGTAGACTAGACGTAAAATAAAACTCCTTTAAATCTTTATCCAAAGGTAGGTATTCATCTAAATAAGAGCGAGTCTAGCAGGATTTTACGATAAATTAAAATGTAAATGTACGATAAATTAATAATAAAAAAAAAAAGGAAAAAAAAAAACCTCAAATCTATGAAATTTTTTTTTAAAATCAGTTCTTTGAAAAAATTCTATAAAGCTTATTAGTTTTTAAAGTATATTTTCCGAAAATTTTTGGTTTGTCTTACTTTAGGTACAAAATTTGCATCGAAGAGAGGATTTTTTTTTTTTACAAGTTGTCATGAAATTTGAAAGAAAATTTTTTACTTGTTTTAAGGCTTAAGCTTCTATACATGATAACCTAAAGGTTAATAAATCCTTCTATTTTTTTTTTTTTAATAAAAATGAAAACAAGATGATTCTATTCTTTGTGAATACAAGGTGAAATGAAGAAAATGAACAGTATAGATTGTCCTTGGGCCCCAAACCGATCATTTGTGCAAGTATTTTTCTAGTTAATAGAAATGATTATCCGCGTAATTAGTAAAGTAATTAATAGTTTAGTTAAGGGAATCAAAAGTTAGTTTGGGTCCTGCGAGAGAGAGCGAGGGTAAAAATTCTTTAATATGAGCTTTGTGTTAGAGTAATAGTTATAGTTACATCATCTGAAGTAAGATAACTAAAAAAATCGTTAAGATCAAAAATACGAAAATTAAAGTCTTTTTTTTGCTTCGTTCTTTCTTAATTGCAGCTCGTTCCCCGTTTCATTAACGATTTTGTAATCGTAATCTTGCGCATCCACCACTATCCTTTTCGCATTCTATTTTCCAAGTTCTTTCATTTGATACCCATATATCGCTTGTATTTATAGAAAAGAGTTAATCGATCTGTTAATCGTGGTGTCTACCATATTCATTTTCGAATTAACCTATTTTTAGGCAGATAATAAATCTTCATTTGAGGAGTGTACAAAATAGGTTTAAGCATTCGGTTTCGTTTGTCTTGTAATAAATAAGCAGAAAACCTTAAAAAAAGTGAAAAATATGAAAATTTAATTAGTTGTAAGTTTGTGTGGGTTAGCCGATTGGTTGCATTTTTGAACCTAAGGAGTAGAGTGTTTCGTGAAGTAAATGTGTAAATTCAAATTGCAACCTTCTAACGAGTAAAAAACCAAAAATGTTTGTTAAACAAAACGGAGTTGCGTTCAGTTTACGCTCCATTGCGCGTTTCTGCTCTGACCAATTTGGCCCATTTTCAATACCAATCTACGTGCAGATACTTCGAATGTTTCCAACACATTTGAAGTTGATATCTTCATTTTTGCAACCAGGCGAGTGCCAACAACACACACCGCGCAGGTACACAGACGGATAGACATGACTAAATCAACTCGGCATTTCACGCGAATCAAGAATATATATACTTTATAGGTTCTCTGAAGCTTCCTCTTGGTTGGTGTTAATGGAAAAAAAAAAACGAAATGAGCATACCCCCAGCTTACAGTGGTGAGTATAAAAATAATTTACATAATGAGCGACACGAAAGGAGCAATAGATAAAATTTGGAAAATAATTAGCTGTTTCCGATATTTCGCACGATAAGGTTACCGCGTGGTGCTCACTATATATATATCAATCAATTGTTTCCATATTTATAACACTTTTAGATTAGAAAGCAAGTCAAAAAAGTGATTGCGAAAAAGGGATTGTAAATATACAATACAAATGAACTACGAATCTAAAAGGAATGTCATATGTTGGCGTATGCAAAGGAAGAAAAAGGAAATTTGAGGAAGGTAGGGAGTTTCTTCACATGGAGTTTAACTAAACCCTCGATTGCAATTTTAAATGTATTCGCTTAAAATATAAAATAAGGATCATGGGAGAAGATGACAACGGAAGACAATTAATTTGAGGTTATGGAAAGTAATTAAAAGGGAAATGACAGTTAAATATAGAGCAGTGAAAGCCGAATTCTAAGCATTAGACTGAGCATCGTTTTCTAAATCCATATCTTAAAACTCTTAGTAATTAAAAAACTAATCAATGACAACGTCAGCGTTACCTTTCTAACGCCTTTGGAGAAAAAAAAAGTCTATTAATTTTAAATTTGAAAAATTAAGACAAAAAAAAAAAAAAAACGCAACAAAATGTGATTTTCAATTAACGCAAAGAAAGTTGATATTTTTCTAGTTATTTATATATACACCCTTGTAAAACGTTAATTCTTATTTATTTAATATTTAATTTTTTTTTCTTCGTTTTTTTTTTTTTTTTTTTTTTTTTTTTTATTGGTATATATGAATGAGAGAATTAATTAAAACTTTCTATCAGAATTTCTAGGACATTCAATATCTTTATGGTTTTAATGGATGAGAAAACGATTACGATTTGAATGAATTCTTTTTCACTATTATTTAAAATTTTTAATAAACATTTGCATATTTTTTCTATGTAATGCGTTTTTGTTATGTATTTTAATAATAAATATTTTAAGATTT